TTAATTACTTTCTACTTCAAAGAATATGTAAATACAAGAATATGTAAATACAATAAAACAGTATTTCAAAAATGAAAGAACCGAAAACATAAATAAACTTTAGCCTTAAAAAAGCCCTCAAAAACAATTTTCAGTTTCAGTTTTTAAATTTTATTTTTTATTTGAGAGAGAAAAAAAGGCAAGAAGAAAGGAGGCAGACAGATAGAGACATTGACTTGTTGTTTATGCATTCATTGGTTGCTTCTTGTATTTGCCCATACCAGACATTGAACCCACAACCTTAGCATATCGGAATGATGCTATAACCAATTGATCTACTTGGCCAGGGCAAAATCCTCAAAATTTAAATACATTGTTGGGAGGACAGTAGGCTTATACAAAATTTTTTTTTCTTTACAAAATCTTTACTTATAGAAGTTATCACATAAATGCATTATCACTCTTAACTAATTCCAATTAAACTGATTCACTGGACAAACAAGCCCCCCAATCCCACTGTAAAATATCTTAATACCCATAATCTACAGAATGCTTGGTATAGAAGCCTAGTATAAAAGCCAAGTACATATATGCTTATCCAGAGTCAGTTTTTGTTTCTGTTCATGTAAATTGTTGTTTTTATTATAATTAGAAAACTTAAATTAAAAGTATATAAACTGATGAAATATAAAAGCATAGAGAAACATTACAAAAACTGGATCATAAGCTTTTAAGAGACCATAAAGGTGCCTGAAAAAATGCTAAAAAATCTTGGAGGGAAAAAAAAAATAAAAGCCTAGAAAGATTTGTTTTTGTTTTTTCTTTCTTTTATATATATATTTTATTGATTTTTTGCAGAGAGGAAGAGAGAGGGATAGAGAGTCAGAAACATCAATGAGAGAGAATCATCGATCAGCTGCCTCTTGCACACCCCCCCCCCACTGGGGATGTGCCTACAACCAAGGTACATGCCCTTGACCAGAATCGAACCTGGGACCTTTCAGTCCGCAGGCTGACGCTCTATCCTCTGAGCCAAAGCCTAGAAAGATTTGTAAACCTAGTGAAGCCACTAAGATCTAATGTTCCTATTCTACCTTAAGGAAACTGAAACTGAAAATCACAGATGATGCTTTACAGATGATATATATATATATATATATATATATATATATATATATATATATATATATATATATATATGTGTGTGTGTGTGTGTGTGTGTGTGTGTGTGTGTGTGTGTGTGTGTGTGTGTATGTGTGTGTGTATGTGTGTGTGTGAAAAAGAGAGAGAGAGAAACACTGATGGGAGAAGACACATCGATTGGTTGCCTCCCGGACCTGGATAGGGGATCATACCTACAAACAAGATACATGCCCCTGACCAGAATCAAACCCAGGACCTTTCAAGGGCCGACGCTCTATCCACTAAGACAGGGCAATATATATCATTTTAATGATTCCTCACTTTAACCAACTTTTTCAAGTGGTTGTCAAACTCATAAGTGAGGAGGGCTTCTACTGAACCTCTCAATTTCCATACATTAAATTTGGGTTTCAGTCTATAAAATTATTTTTCCTACTCTTGATGTTTAATATGAATTCTTGTTTTCTTTTAGCAAGATTTATATCAGTTTTAATTTTTGCAAGGTATGAGCTTAAATAACTAAATGAGCATGTAGAATAATGCCTTTACTCCTGAACTTGAGGCAAGGAAGGGGACTCTTATCACAATGAAATTTATATATAAGAACAGGACCCACAAACTTAAGTATACTCTCTTTTTTAGTGCTTCTCAATAGGATGAGCGAGGGTATAACTGAATGAGAAAGAGGGAGTCAGGGACTTTCTATAAATAACCCACACCTGAGATTCAGAAAAGCACTCTGGCTGACAACTACTGCCACTGTAGTTGTGAGCCATTGATATTGATGGGAGAGTGCTTAGGGATGCTGGGATTTTAATATATTTAAACACTGATCACTATTCTATTTCATTAAAAACAGAAGATAAACAGAATATAATTACTCAAAATCACTATTTTTCATGACTCTACTTTAAATATTGGTCTTGTGATAAACACCTTAGAATCTTTAATGAAATAAAATGATTAGTCTTCAATCAATATGACAAGTAGAAGAGTGTTGGACCACAAAAAGAGCAGAAAATCAGTAGTGTGAAACGCTACTGAAAATCAGACAAGATAAGGTCCAAAGAGTGGCCCCTGGTTTCTTCATCATGTCCAGGAGGAAGGAACATCTGGCCCTTGGAAGCCATTTGGTCTGGCCCTGCCAAGCATGAGTGGTGAGTTGATTAAATGTTTGACCAAATATAGCAGGGTAATTTTTAAGTTGATAATGTAGCATGGCCCCAGAACGATGATATAAATATCCAAATGGCTCTTGGCAGAAATAAGATACCCCACCCTGATGTAGGCCATAGAAAAGGCTACAGTGTAATTTATTAGGTTAATTGGGACTCTTGAGACTTGAAGAGATTGTATTAATAACTATATCAGAACAACAGGCATAATTTGGGGCTGTTTTGGGAACACATGATATGTGGTTACTGGGGTCATCGACAATTTTAGAAAGAACAACAGAATGATGGAAGCAGACACTAGATTGAGGTGGGTTATTGAGTGATTAGAAATAGCATAACTTTAAAAACTCTCTTTGGAAAGTTGCCTATGGAAAAAAAAATTGGAGGCAGACACATATACATCTTCTTCCCAAATATTCTTCTTTGTAGACCAAATAAAACCATATAATGTAAGCAAAGCAGAATCATTTAGTCAACAAAATAGACTCCAGATTCTTTTCAAAAGAGCTAAATTTAAAAAATTTTCTAGTTTATAAATTAAAAATACTATTTTTAAAAGGATTTTTCAAAAATAAAAGAGCAATATGTATAGTTAAATCTCTAAGAAGTAAAGGGTCATCTTACATGAAGATAGAAAAATTATAACACAAAATGGATTTTAAATTTTCCTTTAAAGAAGAAGTATATTGCTTAATGTATAAAATGTATTATTCTCCCACTATACCTACAATTGGAAAATAGTCCCACAGTGACCAAAAATATGAATTTTGAAGTCAAACACCCAGCTGTACCACTTGACAGCTGTAAAATTACAAATTATTTATTTAATTCCCTAAGCCATAATTGCCTGATTTATAAAATGGAGAAAGCAATATCTATAAAACACATAAAGTACTAAGAAAAGAGCATAACACAGTGCTCAAAAGATAGTAGCTATCATAATTATTAGCTAGCTATTATTACACTGAGCATATATCAATTTTCAGGCTATGGTATCACATCTGAAAACAGGTAGTAAAAGCTGATATGCAGCAGGAGGCAACAGTGGAACAAAGTAAGTGTTGACTACAGAAAATGGGAAGGTCCTAAGATTTAATCTGAAGTACTGTTGTTGTTATTTTAAAGGTTACCTCCAGGTGCCAACAAGAGAAGACACAGTCTTATCAATGTTGGCCTGGCTGTGTCATGGTGAAGAACAAAAATTCTGAATCAGAGGATATGAATTCTGAATCTTGGCTCTGTCATTTACTTGCCATAGAGTATACAGTTTAACTTCACTAAGCCTCAATTTATTCATCTTTAAAGTGGGGATAGTAACAATGTCAATCGCAGAGAGTTGTTCAGAAGTTTAATTAAAAAAACATACAAATAGTATTCACACAGTGCCTAATACATAGCAACACTCACATAATATATATTATTACAGGGAGGTAAAGTCAAGAAGAAAGACTACAGAGAAATGAGAATGTGGTAAGGTCCTAGAAATATATGGCAATTTGAGACTCCTGGGCACAAAATAAGAAAATCAAAGATCTCACTATGGCATCACAGAAAAGTCAAGATTTATTCAACTCTTACATTATAAAAGGTATAGTAAAATGTCTGAGGCTGGTAGTAAAAATTTTATGATAAAAAAGGAACATATCTAATTAGGAAATGTTTAAATTATAGTAAAGCCATATGATATTAATACCTGCAACCATTAAAAAACATATTCTTGGCACGTACACTATGGTAACATATTTTAAGTATGTATGTATATATACATATAAATATACTACTGGTGCATGAAATTCGTGCATGGAAGGGTAAGGGGGAGAGAAATGTCCCTCAGCCCAGTCTGCAACTTCTCCAATCAGAGATCCCTCTCATAATCCAAGACTGCTGGCTCCCAACTGCTTACCTGCCTGCCTTCCTGATTGCCGCTAACCACTTCTGCCTGCCAGCCTGATCACCCCCTAACGACTCCCCTGCCAGCCTGATTGATGCCTAACTGCTCCCCTGCCAGCCTGATTGCCCCTAACTCCCCTCCCCTGCCAGCCTGGTCACCCCTAACTGCCCTCCCCTGCAGGCCTGCCCCACCACCACCACCACCACCACCACCATCCTTCCGTACAGGCCCAGTTGCTCCCAACTTCCCTCCTCTGCTGACCTGGTCACCCCTAACTTCCCACCCCTGCAGGCTTGGTTGCCCCCAACTGCCCTCCCTTTCAAGGCCTGGTCTCTCTAAACTGCCCTCCCCTGCTGGCCTGATAGCCCACACTGCCCTCCCTGGCAGGCCAGGTCCTTCCCAACTGCTCTCCCCTGCTGGCCATCTTGTGGTAGCCATCTTTTGTCCACATGGGGGCAGCCATCTTGTATGTTGGAGTGATGGTCAATTTGCATATTACTCTTTTATTATATAGTATTATCAAACAAAATGACAGAAAATATCCCAAAATGTTAAACAAGTAATTTATGAATAACAACATTACAAGTGCTTTTAGGAGGCCAATGCCTTATCCATTAGGTGACTGGGGCTTCTAAATTACAGGTGATTTTAAAGTTTTATTTTAAATGTCACTGAAAATTTTCCAAAAATTTCTTTTATAAATAAGTACTATTTTGTAATATTTGAAAGCTGCTTTTAAACATACAAGGAAGTTTTAAGACTAGGTATACACAGTATACTAATAAAACTAATGAAAATAATTCTGATTTTACCTTGTAGCTCACTTTTAATAAGGCAACTTTCCATCATGTATAATAGCACAGTGACCATAATATCCAGCAGCTGACATTCTTCTGTTACCTGTCTTGCTAGCTCCTCATTGCTGAACAACTGAACACTAATATGAACAATTCTGTTAGACATCGTGTCTGATTCATGACTTTTTTTCAGTGTTTTCATAATGAAAGCATAATGCTGAACAAAAGTTTTTGTAAAAGCAACCTGTAAATGTTTTAAATAGAAAAAAACACACATTAGTTTAACTTTCTTTTATTACACATTTCCAACATATTATATTAATCATATTAAACTATTTTAGTTTGTGACGATGCCCAAGGTAATTGAAAAAATAATTTCAATGATGACAGTAGTCGTAAGTCATATTTCCCCATTTTTTGAAACATCAACAAAATATTTTGATAGTTAAAAAAATTAATAGGCATTTTAAATTAAAATTTTAAAGCAATTATAAATACCATAGTTTAAAATACAAATTCTCACTATGTCATAAATAAATCAATTTATTGTCAAAGTATTTTTCTTTGTTCTGTGCTACCTACTTTAAAAACAAAAACAAAAGTCTCAGCTAAAAACTATCACAGGTTTCATATAACTTAACAAGTGAGTCTATGTGATTACTCCAAAAGAAATATCTTCTCTCATTTGTTTGGAAAGCTGGCCACTAATCTGACTGACTATTTTTTCTGTGTAACATGTACATTTATTTCCTAAGCAATTACAAAGTCACCAAACAATGGCATTATTAAAGTGTCACTCCTAAAGAGGCCTTATTTCCTAAGCCATAAAAAGAACTACAGCATGATGCATTTCCTTTTTCATACACTAGACTATGTCACTTTGCCATAACTATACTAATGGTAACAGGTGGGTCCAGATACCCTAGGACAAGAGACTTCATCTACCTACATGAGTACATCAGTCAATAACTGTTCTGAATTTAACTTTATGGAAAGCATAATCCCATGTTTTCCCATACCTAACCCCACAATCTAAACTCAATTGGTCCCATTACACATACTCATAGCATCTATACCTCTCCTTTGAAGAATTTGTAACAACATATTTATTTGAGCAATTGTTTTTATGTTTATCACCCAGCATTCCCTTTGGATCAAGTTCTATACAGAAAAGCAACCCTTAGGAATTTTAACAGTGGTGCTTTGCCACAGATCTTTGATACTATGTTTCCTCTGCAGGTTCTATGCTCTTTCACAGTGTTATATCAGTCCTCAGAGCTACAATACAATAAGCCACCGCTGAGAAATACATTTTTAAAGTTTAGTAGAGAAAGGACAAAGAATATGGAGCAAAGTTCAGAAAGGAAGTGGCGGAAATGTATATACCTTATACTCTTGATCTGGAAGCATATTGAGTAAGAAAGTTACCATCTTCTGAGGGAATTCATATTTTATAGTCCAAAACAATAGTTCTTCTAGGAAACTTTTATGTTTCAAAACATCCATTATGGATTGATCTGTGTAAAAAAAAAAAAATTATTGTCTAATGATTTAAGTTTCTCATTTCATCCAAACCTTACTATAATTAATAACCCATCAATCCCAAACATAGAAACCCACACCTGAAACCTATATATACAGTTATGTTGACCAAATGTCACCCCAATAAATTTAAATTAATTAAATAATTAACTAATTAGATGGTAATGATGGTTTTAAGCTAAAAACGTACTATTAAGATCATAAAGTCCAAATCTAGTTTTTTTAATTTTTAAAAAGAGGGGAAATCTTTACAAATTCAATAATTCTTCAAAATTATCCTTCATAAAATAAATATTTATTTCACCAGAAAAAATAATTACTAATGCATTGCTTACTATAATATACAGAAGCATTTACTTTTTTCTAGTAAAAAATATACCAGGCAAAGTATAAAAAGTGTTAAATATGCTTACTTGCACTAGATTCAAGAGTTCTTCTTCATGTATACAATGCCCCTTTCTAATGAAAGTATTCAAAAGGGGATAAAATTATCTATTGGAAAGCCTATTTCTAAAACCAACTGCCACTCCTTAAAGACTAAGGCTGTCTCTTGCTAATCTCTGAATCCTTGCCATACTTAGTCAACAGAAACATCTCAACATATATATGATGAACCAATATGTTTAATACTTTAGCTATCTCTTTTACTTTCTCCAATTTTCCATCTAAAAAATGAACTAATTCTTACTATTAATCTCTACTGGAGCAAACTATCTTGGGCTACTGCTCTGAATCATCATCTCTATATAAGGACATCAAAAGTATACAGCAAATATCAACTGTAAGTAGACTAGTTCAGTGATAGTGCTTACGCAGGAACTGGAACTAGATGCAGATTTGAAGAAAATAGTATCACATGCACCAAAATATGCAGGTGCAGCCATAACTACATTACAGTTCAAGTTGTCTTGCAGGATAACTTTGTAGAGTTTTTTCAATTAACCCTAACCAATTTTACAGTTCTTCTATTGTTGAGTAAGTGTTCACACCACATCTCTCTCAGGTAATGAGTCTATCCCAACTCAGATGTTTCTCAAGGACTCAGGTAAAAACATGGACAACTCGAGTAAGTCAAAGAGCCAGGTAGCCATATGGGTTTCTATTTTTTTCGGCATCACAGCTTCTCTGCTGCACCAGGGAGAAGGGAAGCATGATTGTACTAGTATGTCTGCATCCTGGACTGCAGACAAAATTTCATGCCCTTTGCTAGTAGCCCACAAATTAAATGAACTAAGTAACTAAGAACGCTTACCAAACGAGCCTCAACTAAAACTACCTGATTGTTCCACCTTTCCAAGCAGTCTTAAATATTCTACTTAATCAGCACCAGAAATAAGCAGCTTCTTTTCATCAAAATATTATTTTAACCTCTGAAGACTCTACGAGATCATATTAGCCCAGACAATAGACCGTGTTAAACTTCTGATTGTGGCAAAAATCCAAAGTACAGGCTTCCAACCAGAAACCAGCATTCAGCTGCCAGGCCAGTGCGACTCAGAAGCTGAGCATCACCCCGTGCACCAAGACGTCACTAATCTGATGCCCGGTCAGGGCAGACACATTTATTCATATTCTCTCTTTCACTGTCTCCTCCTTATTTGTCATTTTTCACTTTAAAATGCATACGCCAGATGTAATCCACATTAAAACTGTACACCTAAAACACTGGCTGCAAATCAAAGAATTAATGAAATGACTTCTATTTTTCTGGCTCAAAAAACATAATAAAAATTTTATTTTAAAAAACATATAACAAAATCCCAATAGTAAGGGTTTTGCTTGCTTTTGAGGTCCCCCACAATCACCCCCTAAAAACAGTTTCTCCATTATTCAACAAATATAATTAAATAAGTCTCTTTTCAAACATATCTCAGATATCAATACGGATAGCCAATCAACTGTTCTTAGTGATTAAGCATTTAGAAGCTTTTTATACAAGTTAAAAATAAAATATAAATACCTTTGGTGCTACTGCTTAGTTTGACCCTCTTTCTCTTGCCCAGACCTTGACTTCCATCCTGATCCTCCTGGAGGAAAACAGAATTAGCATTATAATAATGCTATTAATGAATTTATATATTTTACATTAATATATGTGTGTTTATAAATGATTAAATATAATATAGTCATGCTTACATATTATTAATCAACACATTTTACTTTTCTGTCTTTGCTGTAATATCTTTTAATACTGCTAGTTTTTAGTAAATTATATAATGAAAATCCTTAGTATTAAAATATAAGAGCTCTTACACTTAATCTTACACTTAATCTTACTGTTCTTCTAATGCAAAATGCCTAAATAAAAATTTTTCTAACCTTATAAATATTTTCATATAAACAAAGAAGCTGAAGGGAAGTCAAGCTGATGGGCTTAAGAAGAAAGGAGAGAAGAGGCAGAAGGCTAAAACAATCAATAAAGAAAAAGGCTTTGAAGAGTCTACGACAAACAAAAGTCATCATCTGCACCTGGGGAAATCATTTGGATGCCCAGGAAAACATCTTGGAGTGGTCTGAGGCAGTCTCAAGGGATGGTACACTGCACAACAGCAACAGAGTGGGAAGCTGGGGAGTTGAGACAAAGCAAAGGGAGGAGGAACAGAGGAAGCAGCCTGCCGATGGTGAAACCAAGGTGTGACTAGAAGTGTGCATCGGAGGGAGAAAGCCCAGGGCACAGGTGCACATTTCTAATTTTCTTTAAATGTTACTGAAAAGGCACTTGCTATCTTTGTAGCTGAATTCAGGAGTTCTTCCCCTCCAGCTAAATGTTATGATTCCACTCCATTTTCCCAGCTTTCCTAAACTAGAAAATTGCATATGAATTCAAAACTTCTATGCTATACTATCATTTTCCTATTTTCCAAACATATATGAGCCAACAGGTACTATAAGGTCATGTATGGTAGTATTTTGGCATATAGTCTATTGTGCTAACAATGGAGTTTGGTGGCATGTTAGAATGTAATACAAATTCCCAGATTTCTCAAGTAGAGCCCATCAAATCTTGAAAGCAGAAAAGTAGTCTTGGATTCATGCTGCTGTTCTATCTACTATCATAGCTTCTTTGTCCTACACATCACAGTCTTAACTTCTGGTTTCTATCAAGTCCAGCATCAGTCCTCAGGGCCAGTCTGGGATTTTTCAGAGCTACATTACACATTTACTGAGCACTGTAATATGCCCTCCCTGTTAATCCCCACCCTTGCCACGGCCTCCATAATAATCTCCTGGCAGCAGAACTAACAAACTACTACTCTTCCTCTGCCACCCTCACCCTTTGCATTGGAGAAACTCAATCAGAATGAAACTTGGAGCCTTAAAAGACAGAAAAGAGACACAGCCCTGGCCAGTGTGGCTCAGTTGATTGGGCATCATTCTGTGCACCCAATGGTTGCTGGTTCAATTCCCAATGAGGGCACACACTCAGGTTGTGGGCTTATTCCCCAGTGGGGGACGTTCAGGAGACAGCTGAATGTTTCACTTTCACATCAATATTTCTGTCTCCCTCACCTTTCCTCTCTCTCTCTCTAAATATTAATATTTTTAAATCTTTTTTAAAGAAGAAAATAATGTTAAATCATGCCACGGGATCCAGGGGATCCCAAAGTTTGAGATTTTAGCTAATAGACATTTATTCTGAAACTGTTCTCCCAGCCCTGAGAAAAAAGACAAATTTGGAAAACTATGTTATATCCCAGGTTAGGATTGCTTAATTATTTCTCTTTTTTAAAATATATTTTTATTGATTTCAGAGAGGAAGGGAGAAAGAGATAGAAACATCAATGATGAGAGAGAATCATTGATCAGCTGCCTCCTGGACGCCCCCTATGGGCATTGAGTCTGCAATCCGGGCATGTGCTCTGACTGGGAATTGAACCATGACCTCCTGGTTCATAGGTTAATGCTCAACCACTGGGCAGCTTCATTATTTCAAATATAAAGTTCCTATGAAAAGAATATCCTTGATCAAGCAGTAGTCTTGGAAATACAAAATTTTATTAATTTCCCAGTCTTATAGTCTTATCTAAAAGACAAGTAAAATTAGTCAGACAAAGGAGGGGAACCTCATTCTAAAAAAAGAAGACAACATAAGCAAAGGTGCAATAACAAAAGTTCATAAACATAGGCCAGTGAGGTGGGCTGGACATCATAATACACATCAGCCAAAGCAAGGAAAGGAGATTATCTCCATCCTTGTATCTAAAGGATACAAAGTATGCTATATTTACTGGGTACCTTGTTATTGGAAGCCAAATATTTTTCCTCCTGCAATAAATCAAATGTGATGAATACTTATACATATAGTTCCTATTTACTTGTCAAATTATTTCTCTAGGATAAATTTCTAGAACTGGAATTTCTGTTCCAATGATAAATACACTTTAAAGACTTATTGACAAATAGCTTCCAGCCGGCAGGAAGGCCCCAGCCAGCAGTCTGCAAGAAGGTCTCGGCTGGCAGCCAGAAGGCTCCAACAGGCCCTGATCACCAGCCAGGCCTAGGGACTCCACACGTGCACAAATTTCATGCACCAGGCTTGAAATTTACTAGTAAAGCATACACCTTGTTATAAATGTTCAAAAAGACCATTAGTGAAAAAGGCAGAATACAGATAGCACATATACATGAAACCCTTAAAATATACTATATATGGGGTGGATTAAAAGTGAGTTCACAGTTGTTGGTATGAAAATAATACAATAATTAATAATATAAGAATAAACTATTTTTGTTTATTCTTAATACAACTGTAAGCCTGTTTTGCCCACCCCAGTATAAAAATGTTTGAATACAGATGTTAACAGTTAAGACACCTCTAAGTGATAAGAATAGGAAATTTTATTATATTTTTGTTAATGTCTATTTCCTATTATAATAATAGGAAATTTTATTATATTTTTGTTAATGTCTATTTTCTCTTTACTCTATAATGAATATGGTCTAAATTGGCCATTTAAAAGCTAATCTGGAGAGCTTAGGCCAAGACAAAAATAAATGTTACTTCTTTCCTAGACACAGTAGAAATATCTGTGTTGAAGATCAGCTTTTCATGTGCCCACAAATCAAATCCAATTCATGTAAATAAAGTCGACTTGTTAGCAAGGCTGTTGGATGTATAATGCTAGGTATGCTAAAATAATATGAAGATTTTAATCAACAATATAAGTACAAACATAAAATTATAGATTTTTCAAGATTATATCAAGATATTTAGATTATTTTAATAAAGTGCTCTGTAACATCAATAAACTATTTCATTATGTAATATTTTTCTAAAGTTTCTACTGGCAATAGATACAAGTAGAAACTCCTTTCCTATCTGCCTGGCTTTAGTCAAGGAAGTGCACATGCACCCATTCATATTCAACTCAGTATTCTCAGATCTTACCTTTTGAGAAGCCATTCCACCTCACCACAACAGTAATGTTATAAAGAACTTACTAGAAATATTTATTATATTAATAAACACTATAAAATTGAAATTTCATATTGGCATTCTATTTTCCTGTAGATTGCTCTTTTTAATAATCCTTGACATATTAGGTATAACTTAGTTATGTGATTAGAAAAGCAGTCACATTTCATATTCTTTTAATAAGTTACTCTAGACTTCTCTAAATTTCTTAAGACAATTTCATTGTACTTATAGCAGCAATTGGATAAATTTTGGGATACCTTCCTAGGAGAAATGTTTGTCTATATCTCAAATGTTTGTCTATATCTCAAATGTTTGTCTATATCCACTTCTAAACTACTAAAAGAGAAATTAATTATAAACAAATAAAAATCTAAGAACAAGTTGTAATAATATTTGTTCTGTCACTAAGTAATTATATGATCGTGGCTAAATTATTCCATTCTGAGCATCAGTGTCCTTGTCTACAAAATTAAGAATTTAAACTAGATAATATCCACAAATCTGTACAGTTTTAAAACTTTTTAAATTCTATTTTTTAAAAATTTTAAATTGTAAATCTCACCTCATCTGAAGAATCTAGTTGTGCCAATGTCCCTGTTGCACCTGCAAAATCTTTGAAAAGGAAAAGAAAAGTTGCCCTTCATAGTTGTTACATAATGCTTTACTTGCTATAAGACACTCATTTTAACAGTTATCTTGGCAAAGTTCAACATTTATCTTTAATAAATTTGGACCTAATACTCTATAAACTTTATACTTTCAATAGGAAATTCCAGTGAAAACCAAATATAATCATCACAAATAGTATTTCAAAAGTATCTCTATTTTTTCCTTTTTATTAAATTTATTTGGGTGACACTGGTTAACAAAATTATACAGGTTTCAGGTGCACAATTCTTCAACCCATCATCTGTACACTGTATTGTGTGTTCATCACCCCAAGTCAAGTCTTCATCCATCACCACAACCCTTCTCCACACAACTCCTTTCTCTCTAGCAATCACCACACTTTTGTCCCTGTCCAAAAGTTTTTTCCCTTGTTTTTTTCTTTTTTGCTCAATTCCTCCACACCCCCAAAACCCTACCCCCAACCTTTTTAGTTTTAAACTATGGTTTATTAAAATCCTGAGCTACTTTTAAATATAACAACTGCTACATTTTTTACTACTTAGAAAAATCTTTAAACTTTTATTACTTTTCTTACAAAGAATGACACATTATTTAAATTTCTCCAATAATGAGTGAAGTTGGAAGGGGGTTATTTTGTTTGTTTTAATACAGGAAAGTTATAATTATCCAAATTACATATTTAGACAAACCTTTAACTGTCAGAGTGCTAGTGCCAGCAGATGGCTCCTGAATACCATATACAAGTTTATCCTCAGGATAGGTAATTCCAGAGCTCTTCAAAGCTATAAGGTACTTTTCGTGACTTTTCTTTGCACAAGTATTTTCTCCAAGACCTAATATTTAAAACAAATTTAAAATAGGATTAAAATATTCCATTTGAAATATAAGTACAGTCAACTCAGTCACTAGAATATATATTCTATATCTATAAATAGGTGAACTCCCATTTGACCCAGTAATCCCACTCCTAGGAATATATCCCAAGAAACTAGAAACACTAATCAGAAAGGATATATGCACCCCTATGTTCATAGCAGCACAATCTACAATAGCTAGAATCTGGAAACAGCCTAGGTGCCCGTCAGCAGATGATTGGATCCAAAAACTATGGTACATCTACACAATGGAATACTATGCTGCCATAAAAAAGAAGGAATTCTCATCATTTGCAGCAACCTGGATAGAACTAGAGAACATCATGCTGAGTGAAATAAGCCAGTCAATGAAAGAGAAATACCACATGGCCTCACTCATTTATGGATATTAAAGAACATTATAAACTGACGGACCAAAAGTCACATATAAAGACAGTAAAGCAACAAGCAAACTGTAAAATTACAACGCGGAGAGTAGGGCGATCTGGGGGAGATAATAGATCAACTGAAGGACTTGTATACATGCATATAAGTACAACCAATGGACACAAAACTCTGGGGAGGGAGGGTATGTATGGGAGGGGGGGCAATGTTAAAATATGTACACAGATAATAATTTAATTTTAAAAAATTTTAAAAAATAAAGTCTTGGGGGGGAAAATAAATAAATAAATAGGTGAATATGCTGTTGAAGAGAAAACCCTAGAATGAATTATATAAAATAGTTTCACACCTTTGTGAACTCATGTTTGACATTAACAATCACAGAATGTACAGCACATTTGTAATAAATAATGAAACCTACTAAGTAATTGAACTTCTATCGATAAAATATGCCATAGATTATATATAAGGCACAGAGGGGCAAAGATTAATAAGGCATGATTCCTGCCTTCAATGAATTAATGGTAGAGAAAGAAGGATAATATGGTAAAAGACAATTATGTAGCAGATTTCATCTTTTGGTTTGATAACCAGTGTTCTATTACTGTGCAACCAATTTACCCAAGCAGAGTATTTGGACAGGCTTCCTGGAGAAGATAATCCCTGGATAAAATTTTAAAATATTTACAACTAAAATTACGGTTAACTCTTGTTTTATTACCATATTTAAGGTATTAAAAGTATAATTTCTACAGAAGTATCCAAAAAATACTGAAAAGTTTAGGTTCTTGAATTGAACAATCCTAAAACTTTCACTTAGCATTTCAGCTTATTATTGCTAAAATTTTCTATTGTTTTGCTTTTTAATATATTATGGAAGATGAATAATAATAATAAAAGAAAATACTAATATTTAAGAATTCCTTAAAAGAAAAAAATCATTTTGTCTGAAAGCCAAATTACCATGTCATTTGCCACCTCTTTAGGCAGACTGTGTATCTTAAATTAAGATCTCAGCCTCTCTGATTATAAAAAGGAATAAATGTGTTTCTTTAGTATTTGCTGAGTTTTATTTCTCTCTTTACTAGCTTCAATAACTGCAATAGAACAGTTTTATTTTGTTTTTTAAATCTCTAATCTCTGAGCTGGTATTAAAAAAAAAAAAAAAAAAAAAACTCGAACACAGACTAAATAGGAATTAAAAACAACCATAATTAGTTTGCAAAGAATAAAGAACTTCTAGTGTTCTATGTAAAAAATGACAATGTCTCCTGAGTAATAAGAGACACATATTTATCTCACTAGGATAGATTTGTAATACCTTTTAGTTAACAAAATACATTTCATCAATCTCTCACAAGCCTGAGAAAAATGAATATATAAAATCTTACATGGTCTATAAGCATCTACCTAATCTAGAACTAGCCTAATACAGTAGCCTTTCTTTGTACCACTATCCCCATAACATACATTTCATTTCAACTTAACTGGCCTTTTTTATTCCTTTTTTTAAAATAAGCTCATTTTCATCCATAAATATTCCCACATGTACACTGTATTGTGATATTCTTTATATTTATCCTGTTTGGGGTTCACTGAATGAAATAATTCTATATTTCTTCATCTAATTTGGGGAATTACAGTCATGATTTCTCCAAATGTTTTTTTAATGCCCCAATTCTCACTCACCTGTCGTGATATTTGGTCATCTGATTTTAATAGGTCCTTGAGGCTCCGTTGTTTTCAGTTTTCTAGGTTAAATAATCTATTGATGTGTCTTCAAATTCACTCAGTCTTTCTATGTTGTCTAATCTACTGCTAAGCCCATCCAGTAAATTTGTCAATTAAGTCCTTGCACTCTACAGTAATTTTTAGTTCTAGAATTTTATTATTTATAGTTCCTTGCTAAGATTCCTTATTACTTCAATCATAATTATTTGAACAGGTTTTTCTTTAATTACTTAAACATCCTATCTAATAAAAGAGTAATATGCAAATGACCATCACTCCACACACAAGATGACTGCACCCATGTAGTCAAAGATGGCTGCCCCCATGTGGACACAAAATGGCCACTGCAAGATGGCCAGCAGAGGAGGGCAGTTGGGGGTGACCAGGCCTGCAAGGGAGGGCAGTTGGGGGCAACCAAGCCTGCAGGGGAGGGCAGTTAGGGATGACTAGGCTGGCAAGGGAGGGAAGTTGGGGGCGACCAGTCCTGCAGGAGAGAGCAGTTAGGGGTGACCCGGCCAGCAGGGGAGGGCAATTAGGGGCAATCAGGCTGGCAGGGGAGAAGTTAGGCATGAATCAGGCTGGCAGGGGAGTAGTTAGGGGTTGATTCGGCTGGCAGGCAGAAGCAATTAGGGGCAATCAGACAGGCAGACAGGCAGGCAAGCTGTTGGGAGCCAGCAGTCCTGGATTCTGAGAGGGATGTCCAACTGCCTGTTTAGGCCCGATCCTGCCGAGATTGGGCCTAAACGAGCAGTTGGACATCCCCCAAGGGGTCTCAGATTGGAGAGGGGGCAGGCTGGGCTGAGAGACACACACAATGCCCCCATGCACGAATTTTGTGCACCGGGCCTCTAGTATTTATAAAAACTTCTTTAATGTCTACCTGCTAAATCCAATATCTGGGCTACTGCAAGTGAGTTTCTACTGACTGTTTTGATAACATATTGAACATTGCTTTAAAAAAAAGAACAGTTTACTGATTTTTTTTTTTTTTTTTTGAGAGAGAGAGAGAAAGAGAGAGAAACATGATGTGAGAGTGCAACAGCAATGGGCTCCTGCCTCCTCCACACCCTTTATTGGAGATGGAGCTTCAACCCGGGCCTGTGATTTTGACCAGAAATTGAACTGGCAACTTCCTCATACATAAGACGATGCCCAACCGAGCCACACAAGTCAGGGTGTTATTGGACATTCTAATGACACATTATACAAGATTCTGGATTCTGTTATCTTCCTATTAAGAGTATTCATTTTATTTTATAAAACAGTTCAATTAATAGCCTGATCATGGATGTGAGGGCGATCTGGTTGCAATATATGTCACCTCATTGATCGCCAGGATTGATCCAGCTGATCTGGCTGGCTAGGCGGGTGTCCCCCTCCTCCCTCACCACCCATGTGCATCCCTCCCGAAGCTGCACACTTGATCGAAGAGGACAACCTTCCCCCCAGAGGAGAGGACCAGTCCTCAGGCAAGGGTATAGGAGTAGCTGCCCTCCCCTGCTAGAACCTCCAGACAAGCTTTCAATTAATAGCCTGATCACCTAGAATTCATGAAGGTTTAGTTTAAGACTTTTGTAAAGAACAGATCTGTGGAAAGCCTAAGTTTCTCTATATGTCCTCTGAGCTGACAGAATAATCTCCATATTCTATCTTCCTTGCAGAAACTCTCAGAGCTTTAGGCTTCATTAAGGCTGATCTAGACCAGCCCTTACTCTAAGGATTGGCCTTCTGTCTCAGCTAGATGCCTGAGTTATTAACAAACTCCAATGTCTCCCAATTCTACTTAACCCGTTTTATGTTGTTTATAGCATAAGGGATGGGCCAATAGTCAGAGAGGAAAATGGCCTCTACCTGAAATCTAATCCTATCCCATTACCACCCAACTTCTCTAGCCTTCTGTGAAGCTTCCTCACCTTCCCCATCAGTGCAATTGCTCTCTCTTTAGTATACACATGTCTTACCCTTTCGTTGTATTTACTACAATTTGTCATTAGTCTGAGGGTTTTATTAATGTCATCTCACTCATTATACTATAAGCTTTATAAGGGTACAAATAGGATTATCAGGTTTATTAATTACTTTCTCTACCCAAGTTCTAATACCTAGCCCAAAGTCAAACCACACGGTGAGTACTTAAGTATTTGCTGAAGAAATAAATATATTTGACTATCTCTAAATAACACATGATTAACAATAAACATGGAAATTATACCAAGAAACAAAACAAACTTCAATCTTCAAAACATGCTATTTATGAACCAGTATAAAGAATGCCATTTAAAAAATTTACAAGATTTTTAAATAATTGATGTGTTTATTGTACTATAAATTTGAGCTAAATGAACAGTATAGAAACTAAAATATTTTATATAACAGTATAGTATACTATATAAAAAACATACTCAACAATTCCAAGTTTTAAAACTTAAACTCTACATTATTATAAAATCCTAAACATTATTATTAAAATCCTAAACAACCCAAAAGTTTAGAATACTAAAGATGAAAACATAAAATGGTGGTTGTTATTGTTGGAAGGAAGAAAGAATATAGTTATGATATGTCGCATCAAAAATGAACACCCTAGCCAGTTTTGCTCAGTGGATAGAGCGTCGGCCTGCAGACCAAAGGGTCCCAGGTTCTATGCCAGTCAAGGGCATATACTTGGTTGCAGGCTCCTCCCTAGACTGGGAGTTCTAAAATACACAATTTCTAATAATTATAGCAATATAAGCAAATTTTAACATTCTTCTACTCTCTTTACTCACCAGAAGTCAGATCTTTGTAGTTCTGTTGGTTTGTCAAAACCTGAGTAAGAACAGACCGCATTGCTCCTCCCATTTTAGTTAGATCTTCTAAAAAGGAAATTTGAGGTTCCAAAAGCTGAAGAATTTTGTTAAGGTCTTTTTCTGATGGTACATCAGCTGCTAAAGAAAAATAAATAAATCATTATAATTAACTTTCTTTAAAATATTTAGATAAAAATAACATTTTGTTCATTTAAAGTTATAGCGACTTAGATGACAATATTTTATAATCAAAAAAGTTAATATAAAAACTGTGTGGAAATTATGTATCCACTAAGCATCCAGCCCAGGGTAGACTTGGTCAGGTATTTGGTCCTATAAGAAAAATTTAACGAGGAAAAAGACACCATAGGTATTACTTAATTTGTGAAAGAAGCATTCAATTTGAGGGCTCTATATACTTCCAGATACATAAATGTAATCATAAGATTATTTCAAATTACATAGTATTTAAGAAAAAATTAAAAAGACCAAAATCAAATACATTGTACAAAATTATTCAGTTCTAAATTTAAACCTGTGTAGCAAATAACACATATTCTGAAAACAGACCTGTGTTAGCTGTAGGTCAAAGCAACTAATATGAAAAATAATTGTTTTCAGAAACATGAAATGTTTTTACTAAAACAATTTAAAAATACCAGGCAATTTATGCCTAATACAGATAGAGGAAGAAAAGGGAAACTTGCATAGTAACTGAAAAAAGCATATTTAAGAGGAAAAGAAAACAAATGCTTTAGAGAAACTGAAGTCTAAAAAAAGAAGTGAATAGAGATTTAGAGCTTAGCTATCTACACTAATAAAAGAGAAAAATGCAAATTGACTGTAACTTCGAAACACCCACCAGCCAATCAGGAGTATGCAAATTAACCCGACAAAGATGGTGGTTTAATTTGCATAAACAGGCGCAGAGCAGCTGGGGGTAGGGTGGCTGCTTGTGCACTTGGGGTCCCGGAACGACTCCCGGCCATTCTGGGCCTACATGCGCAGACACTGAGCAGCCGGGGGCGGAGCAGGAATGCGGCGGATGTCCCCACCCTGAGGCCACTGCACACACGCCGGCACCAAGGGGCGTGGGTCCCAGGGACAGGCGTCCTCAGGAGCCAGGACACTCCGAGCCTGTAGGCCCACACATAGGCCTGGAGCTGCCGGGGGCAGGGTGGAAACAATCCAGGACCCAGGCACTAAAAGCTAGCATGTGTGCAAACGGCCAGGGGTGAGGCAGGAATGACCCCCGTAGCAAGCAAGCAGACAGCAGGCTGCACGGCCCTGCTTGCCCCTGGCCATGGCAGTGAGGGGCAAGCAGTTCCCCGAGGGTCCCCAGAGAGACCAGACACCAGGGCCCTGTTTGCCCCTGCAGCAGCAAGCCAGAGAGCAGTCAGCAGGGCCCTGATGCCCCTGACCCCCGCGGCAAAGGGCAAGCAAGCCCCCACCAGGGCCTTGGGTGTCGTCAAGCAGGCAGATCCAGAGAGTAGAGAACCACAGGAGCAGGCCTAAACTGTCAGTAGGACATCCCCTGAGGGCTCCCAGATTGGAGAGGGTGCAGGTCACTGAGGGACCCATCCCCCCTCCCCGGTACACAAATTTCATACACCCAGCCCCTAGTAATTGGTTAAAAGAAGAATGAATATAAGGGAGCTAACAGGGTCTGGTGTGCTCAGTAAAGGGGACATCAATTTCATTGATTAATTCACCATCTACACCATCATAGGCACTGAGAAGCAAAACTAAATTAGGACATAGTTACTAACCTCACAGAACTCACACCTAGTTCAAAGATAATGTGTGAATAAAATTCTAGACAATTATGATCCTGAGACCCAAACCAAAAGCCTTACTTTCTCAATAGAAAATTAATAGTATGTTATTCATCTTTATAATCTCCCCTGTGACTTACACAGTTAACATAGTAAATATTTAATTAACTTTGATTTTTGGTTCCTAAGAGCTCTAACACAAGTCTGACATTGGTTTGAGGATTGTAGGGTGAAATGAAAATGGAATTCAAGGCAACTGTAAAACCACAAGATCTCTGAACTTCCATTACCACAGATTAAATAATTTCAGGTCCTTTCTTTAATTTTAAAGTCTTTTTTTTTTTTTCACAAACACAAGAAATTTATGCTAGACATAATTAGTTATTTAGAGAGGAAAACATCATAAATCTAAGTTCATAAAGTTTATCTTAAGACAAAAAAGTGCTTTCATTCATTCCTTTATGTTTTCAATAATGGTAACAGATAATTATCAAAGCTATATATCTATGTTATCTACCTTTATAACTGCTAAATGTTACCATAGAAAAAAAATAAATATAATGTACTTGTTTGAAATATTCCGTGATTGTGAGAAATCATACAGAAGGCAAGTTCAATAACCCAGATGGTCTCTGGTTCGTTCATTCCAAATACAGAGTAGTTTGGAAATAAATCAAAATAATATTTCTTTCTGTATTTTACAAGACATACTCTGAGAAGAGTAGAAGTATTTAACAAAGGATTATATAAACATAAGAAAGTGGCCCAACTCAAATTGGGACCCAGGTAACAGATAGAGACTTGGCTGACAGCAGCTGCCCTCTCACTACAATAAGATTTATTTGAGTTGTCTTGTACCTATGGTGTGGAGAAGTGGGTTTTTGATATCTAAATCTAGCCTACCACCAGGAACGTTCAGGGCCTACTCAAGAAGGCAAATAATCCTTTCCACTAATATTATAGGATAAAATAAGATTGTTGTTAGAGTAATAAATTTGACAGTAAAATAGTAGACAAGTTTTCAGGCTAATTTAAATTGGCTAATTGAAATAAGCACAAACCCAAGAAAAATTAATTATACTGGACAAAAAGCTGTTCCTAAAGTGTTAACTGAAATTTTTATTGGTAGTTCATCTCATGATAAAATCTCACAACAGGAAATGAACCTAAAGCAGTCATATTATAGTGCAAAAAAATAAAATTTTAAAGCTATCAAGACTACGTAATAGCCAAAACTGGTTTGGCTCAGCGGTAGAGCGTCGGTCTGCGGAATGAAAGGTCCCAGGTTCAATTCCGGTCAAGGGCATGTACATTGGTTGCGGGCATATCCCCGGTAGGGGGTGTGCAAGAGGCAGTTGGTCGATGTTTCTCTCTCATCGACGTTTCTAGCTCTCTATCTCTCTCCCTTCCTCTCTGTAAAAAATCAATAAAAATACATTTAAAAAATAAAAAAATAAATAAAAAAAGACTACGTTATAAAATTTTCAAAAGCTTCCTAATATTTAAATCAAAAAAGGGGGGAAAGTAGAAGAATATCATGGAAGAAAAAATATCCTGAAAGTAAATTACATTTAAAAAATTTGTACTTTAGAAAATTAATTGTAATGCTAACAAGATACCATGAAAAACACACATACTGTCAAAACAAGGCAGAGAAAAATCATTTGGGCAAAAAATGAAAAAGGATCCCAAGTCAAATTTATAGAAAATACTCCTTTACTAACTTTTGGTCGAGAATATGTTTGTATATTTTCAGAAAACAACTCCAAGACCATGTGGATTCTGGCAACAGAGAAGAATTGATAGGACTGCTCCAGCCATGAAGACAGAGAGGATCAGCCCAAAGATGGAAGATGCTGACGACGCCTTGCCATAATAGCAGTCAGCAGCTGTGCATCACTGCAGGTTGCCCAGGATCAAACCAGAGAGGGTTGGACCTGCATTGCCACCATTTGTTCACCATCCAGAACTGAAATATCATTGCTGGCATGTACACATAAGGAACTGTTTGATACTGAAATTAGGTCTCAAAAGAACTGGTGGCCGAAAAAGAAACTCACTAGAGACTGATTCATTTGCCTTTCAGTATAACTATTACTGTTTGTCTCATTTTCGATTCTTATAAGTATATTTACAGTAAGACATGACCTCACTCATCTAGGAAAAATGATGAACAACATAGACTGATGAACAAGAACAGACCCAGAGACAAGGAGGCATGGATCAGACTATTGGACCTCAGAGGGAAGGTGGGGATAAAAGGGAGAGATCAATCAAAGGACTTACGTGCATACATATGAGCCTAACCAGTGGTCAAGGATACTAGGGGGGTGAGGTCATGAGTGGGGAGGGGTGGGGGATGGGAATGGGGAATGAGGACAAATATGTGATACCTTAATCAATAAAGAAATTAAAATAAATTAATTAATTTAAAAAAAGAAAGTGATTGCTCACAATGAAGAAAATATAATAGCTTTAGGAATAATAAAGATGCTATGTGATATTTCTTCACACCTATAGGGTGAGGAAGATACAGAAAATAAAAATGTGTGCCATAGTTTCAAATTAAATCTAAGATTATAGCATTAAATAATTTAAAACCTCTAAAAGTAATGCAAAATGCCCTCCCTTATATAACAAAAATGCAAATATCATTAGAAAAGTAAAAAGCAACAAAAAATTAATAAATCTTTTTTACATCACTTGTGGATATCTGTAATCCACAATATCAGACTAACTTTAACAGTTAATAGCTAAATTCAAATATTTAACTAAAGTATATTAAGAAAGAGCCGAGACCGGTTTGGCTCAATGGATAGAGCGTCGGCTTAGGGACTTAAGGGTCCCGGGTTCGATTCCGGTCAAGGGCATGTACCTCGGTTGCGGGCATATCCCCAGTAGGGAGTGTGCAAGAGGCAGCTGATCAATGACTCTCTCTCATTGATGTTTCTAACTATCTCTCTCCCTTCCTCTCTTTACAAAATCAATAAAAATATATATAACAATAGAATAAAAAAAATAAAGTATATTAAGAAAGACTATGAATAAATCTTAAAAGGTAAAAAGAATATCTATAATTTGCATGTTTCTTTTCTCTTTTTAACACTATCATGTTGCTTATACCCCATACATTCTTACCAGCCATTTGACTCTCATAATATATAGAGAGGAACAAAAATATATAGATCCCTACAAAAAAGGAGGGAGGAGGGCAAAGCTATAGACAGATAGCTATAGATATTGGTGAAAGAGTAGTTTAATCTTCTAAAAATCTAAGTTAAGCCGAAACCGGTTTGGCTCAGTGGTAGAGCGTCAGTCTGCGGACTGAAAGGTCCCAGGTTCGATTCTGGTCAAGGGCATGTAGATGGTTATGGGCACAACTCCGGTAGAAGGTGTTCAAGAGGCAGCTGGTCAATGTTTCTCTCTCATCGATGTTTCTGGCTCTCTATCTCTCTCCCTTCCTGTCTGTCAAAAAAATCAATAAAATATATATATTTTTTAAATCTTTGATCCCAGGAACACAGAGTGCCAAACTGTGCCAACTAAATATTGAATTAATATTTAATGAGTTTTTACTGAATATTTCACAGTCTCCTATAAAAAATATTGCAAAAATATGATATTCAAAAAAAATTCACCTGATATTAATGCTAAATTTTGTTATCTGGAACTTAAAAAGAGTACTAACAAAGAAGAGATTAAACATACCTGGTTCATTATAGCCTTCTCTTAAGTACTGAATGAGACAAAAAATAAATCTTGGAAGCACAAATTCAGACATCATTAGTAAGTCTTTGGGGACACAAGGGATATTTGAACTTGATTTAATTTGATGTCTTCTGCAAAACCTGTAATATGAAGAAAAAAAACAAAAACAATTAATAGCGATGTCTTATCTGCCAAGAATACAGTACTTCTATTTACAATATCCATAAATGGAATGCAAGGCAATATCAAAGCCAATGTATTCTTCCTTTATAATTTTTAAGTCATGGAGTTAAAATAACATATAGTTTTAATAAGTCTTTAAATTAAAAAATGGCACTGATGGATATTTCTTCCTAATAAAAGACCATACTAATTAAGTTCCCACTAGAATATAAAAAGAAAATCTCATTATACGATTTATATTTTTAACTGCAATTTATTACTTCCAAGTACTATTTTTTTACTTCTATCCTTTATAAACCACTAAGTATAAATTAATCATTTCCCAAGAATTTGCATTCCTTAACTCAACTATTTCTAACTTTTTGCATTAACGAATAAGTGATATAAAATGAAGTTTATTTTTAAAGTTTATACTCTTGAGTATATGCATTTCAAATTTTTTTTATATTTATTTTAAAGCATGACTGGTATACTTGGGCAAAAATGAAGAAAACTTCATTCACAATCCAAAAATCACAATTAAGGTATTTTGTAACTAAATACAAAATAACCACCACACTAAACATATAAAATGCCTAGAAATAATCTTAAGAAGGGTGCAGAAACTATTTTAGTTGAAAAATATAAAAGATCTGAATAGAGAAATCCAATTTTTTTAAAGTCTGTTCCACCAAACTTAATACCATTAGATTTAAATCCCAGGCAGGTAGGCAGGCGAGCATTTGGGAGCCAGCAGTCCTGGATTGTGAGAGGGATCCCAGATTGGAAAGGGTGCAGGCTGATGACTGTGAACTTAACAAATTAATAGCCAAAAGACTAAAGAACCAAGCTCTATGAGCCCATTTAAATGATGTAAGACTGTCCAACATGGATGGAACATACTATAAAATCTACAAAAAGAAATGGTCTTTGTCATAGGTCATTTTGTCTTTGTCCGGGAACCCTTCAGTCCTTGGACTAATACTCTAACCACTGAGCAACAAGCCAGGGCTTACCTCAAGCTTTAAAACGTTTCATTGAAGAACAACTGTTAGAAAATTGCAGCTTAGTAAAATATCACAAACCAAACTTAAATGGCTAAAAGCAGAATTCTTGGACTTTAAGAAAGAGAAAGAAAGGGAATAGGAGAGGAGCAAAGGGACAGAGGATTCTGAAGTCTGCAAATTACGGAATCTTTAAGGAGAGTAGGAGTACAAGGAGAGGCTTTAAAAATTAGACAAGTATCTGAGATAAGCTCCCCTAAAAATTTGCCTTTGGAGTGCACATCCCATTCCCAACTTAGCACATATTACACATATATAAACTACTTTGCATATAATTTAAAATAATAAGAGATTCCTAGAGAGTTGTCCTAAACTAAAAGACCCTAAAAATAATCTGTTCTCTTAATTTTACAGAAGGGACAATCTTAGGAACACTAAATGACAAACCTGTCTGATAAAATTGTTTTAAAACTCCTGAAACAGCTAATGGACACAGACAATAGTTGGTAAAGTCACAGGGTGCACCAGGACTAGTTGGATGGGGGCAAAGGGAAGGAAAACAAGGAACATCTGTAATACTGTCAACAATAACAGGAGAAAAAGAAAAAGAAAGAATTTAAAAAAAAAAAACTCCTGAAGATCACAAAAGGCATACCATAAAAATACACATTATCAACCTAAACTAATCTATAAATTTAATACGAACCTCAGTAAAAATGCCAATAAGGAATATACAAGTTGGTTGTAAAGTTTGTATGGAAAAGTACCAATAGTTAAGAAAATTCTGAAAAATGAGAGTTATTAAGTTAAAGTAGCTTTACCAAATATTAAAACTTACTATAAAATTTAAATAATCAAAACAGTGTATCCAGCCTTTAGGGAGCTTACATTCGAGAGGTTAGAGATACACATCTATGATAATAAAAGCATAATATGCTAACTAGACCAGATGTCCTTCCAGGCGACCTTCTGGACGAAGCCGCGGTGGCGGGGGCTGAGGCAGAGGAGGCTGGCACAGCCGACCAAGGCAGAGGCAGCTGCCACAGTGGCGGGGGGCCAAGCCCCTTGCACTAATTCTGTGCACCGGGCTTCTAATTAATGATAAATACAATTAAATAAACTATAGAATAAAGAAAGAAGGAGTCAGGTCATAAATTCAGTTCCAAATTCGAGAATATGCCTCCACTAAAAAAGTCACCAAATGACAAACAAAGACAGTGAAAGAGGAAGGAAGGAACAAAGAAACTAAAAAACAGTCAGAAAACAACAAAATAGCAAGAGTAAGTCTTTACCTATCAATAAATACTTTGAATGTAAATGGATTAAATTCTCCAATCTAAAAATATACACTGAGTGGCCAGATTATTATGATCTCTGAATGCATAATAATCTGGCCACTCAGAGTGTGTGTGTGTGTGTGTGTGTATCATTCAGCCACAAAAAAAGAAGAAAATCCTGCCATTTGTGACAACATGGAGGGCATTATTATGCTAAGTGAAACAAGTCAAACAGAGAAAGACGAATACTGCTATGATTTCACTTATATGTAAAAATCTGAAAAATTTGAATTCACAGAAACAGAGTAGAATGGTGGTTTTCAGGGGCCGCAGGGTAAGGAAAATGAGAAGTTATATTGGACATAGGGTATAAACTTTCAGTTATAAGATGAGTAATTTGGGGGACAGAAGACGGCTTGAAGAAGTTTATGGGGGGAAAGGAAGACCTATGTAATACTTTCAACAATAAAGATGTTTTTTAAAGATGAGTAGTTTGTGGGAATCTAATGTATAATATGGTGACTACAGTTAACAATATTGTGTTGTATAGTTGAAATTTACTGAAAAAAACTTACTGAGGAAAGAAGGTAACCATGTGAGATGGGGGTATGTTGAATAACCTTATTGTGGTTGGTATTCATTTTATAATATACACATATATCAAATCATCATATTATATACCTTAAATTTATACAGTTTCATTTGTCAATTATACCTTAATAAAGCTAAGGGGAAAATCAGGCTGCATGGTCCTTCTAATTAAATTAAATGACAATGATAAATTTTCTTAGTTTAAGAATCTATTATAGCCCAGCTAGCATGGATCAGTAATAAGCTATCAACCTATGAACCTGCAATTCACAGTTCAATTCCCTGTCAGGGCATATTTTCAGGTTAAGGGCTCAATCCCAAGTGTGAGGCGTGCAGGAGGCAGCTGATCAATGATTCTCTCTCATCACTGTTGTTTCTCTCTCCTTCTACCCTTCCTCTCTCAAATCAATTATATATTTTTTTTAATTTTTTTTTAATAATCTATTATAGCTAGGCCAGTATGGTTCAGGCATTGAGCGTCAACCTATGAACCAAGAGGTCATTGGTTCAATTCACAGTCAGGGCACAAGCCAGGGTTGTGGGCTTGATTCCCAGTAAGGGCGTGCAGGGGGCAGCCAGTCAATGTTTCTCAACAATGTTTCTATCTCTCTCCTTCTCCCTTCCTCTTTCTCTATTAAAAAAAATTTTTTTTAATTTTAATGTAAAAAAAAGATATTCTATTACATATAGTATTTTAATACAAGCATTAAGGCTGAACCTTCCTAACCTCTTTCTAATCTCATAGCTCTTTTTAGTTTAAAAAACTCTTCATCACCTTGAGATTTTACATTACCTTAAATACATTTCATATTAGAATTCAGGTAATATCACATACTTATCAATATTTAATTATCTACTAGAGGCCCGATGCACAAAAGTCATGCAAGGGGCTCGGCCCCCGCCTTGGCTTCATCCGGAAGATTGTCCAGAAGGATGTCCAGTCTAATTAGCATATTATGCTTTTATTATTATAGATTACTTAAAGCAGATACTGGTGCATATTTTACTAATAGTTTAAACTGTGCATATACATTTTATACACACTTTCTTAAATGTATAAATTTGATAACATAAAAACACTTAAAATACACTAATATAGAAACTCGGAATCTGAATTAAAAACTTTTCTCAATATTACTCAAAATAAATGTAATAGAAAGTACCACTGTCCGTTTTCTCAATGAGAAGGGTTAAATAGTGCTAAAGTTCTGGTTTATAAAAACCTAAATGTGCCGAAACCAGTTTGGCTCAGTGAATACAGCATCTGTCTGCAGACTGAAAGGTCCCAGGTTCAAACCCAGTCAAGACATGTACATTGGCAGCTGATTGATGTCTCTCTCTCATTGATGTTTCTAGCTCTCTATCCCTCTCCCTTTCTCTATGTAAAAAATCAATAAAATATATATTTTTTTAAAAACAAAAAAACCTAAGCGTCTTTTTTTTCAGAATACCTAATTACAAGAGTGTAATATGAGTAAATAATAAAAAAATATTAACAAAACTATGATAACACATTACAATAACAATTTCAGAGATTAAGAACACCTACATTGAAGAAACCAAGTTGGCGGCATAGGTAAACACCTACCTGCAGCCTCACACAATTTCAAAAAATGCAACTAAAATATAAAGTGGACATTATCCAGAACTATAGGAAAGTTGCCTGACTGGAAATTCTACAACTAGAAGGAAAGAGAAAACCAGAAGGAAAATCAGAGGAGCTGTAAAAGCCTAAGATACGGAGACACGGTGCGCACATGGGGAGAGGACGGAGCCGGAGAGGAGGGGCGGCTGAGTGCCTGGTTGGCGTTCCCTACTAGGAAGGAGATAAAAGCTCTGGACTGTGCTGAACCCCAGATCCGACAGCACTGAACCCCAGTTCTGGGCAAGACCCTGGGGTCCCAGGCTCATACAGAGGGTTCTAGGCTTTAAGGCGGAAAATCAGGGGAGCGGCGAAAGGCAGAGCCCAGGAGCCGCACACACTGCACGCAGAGGACTGACAGTTGACTGTGCCGCGGGACTGCCCGAGCTGGAAGGAGACAAAAGCTCCGGACTGCACTGAACTCCACTTCCAACTGCACTGAAGCCCAGTTCCGGGCTTATTGG